CATGACAGTCCCTCAACACCCAGAGCCTTCAGCATTTCTGGGCGGATCTCATCCACCCCCGGGGCTTTGCCACTGTGGAGTTGTTTGAGGACCTCAGTGACCTCCCCCCGGGAGATTGGTGTTGATCCCCCGTCATACTCCAGCTCTACCTCTAACATAGAGGGCGGAGTTTTCGGGTTCAGGAGTTCCTCAAAGTGTTCCTTCCAACGCCCTAACACTCCATCAGTTGAGGTCAACAACGTCCCATCCTTACTGTACACAGCTTGGATGGTTCCCTGCTTCCCCCTCCTGAGGTGTCGGACAGTTTTCCAGAACAACTTTGGTGCCGCCCGAAAGTCCTTCTCCGAACTTCTCCCACACCCGCTGCTTTGCCTCGGCCACGGATGAGGCTGCTGCCCTTCGGGCCTGTCGGTACCTTGCAACTGCCTTGGGAGTCCCCCGGGATAACAAATCCCTAAAGGCCTCCTTCTTCAGTCGGACGGCTTCCCTGACCACCGGTGTCCACCAGGAGGTTCGAGGGTTACCGCCCCTTGAGGCACCTAGGACCTTGAGACCACAGCTCCCCGCCGCGGCTTCGGCAATAGAGGCTTTGAACACCGACCACTCTGGTTCAATGTCCCCAACCTCCACAGGAATGCCCGAAAAGCTCCGCCGGAGGTGTGAGTTGAAGGCCTCCTGAACTTGGGCCTCCTCCAGACGTTCCCAGTTCACCCGCACTACACGTTTGGGCTTACCAGGTCTATCCAGAGGCTTCCCCCGCCACTCGACCCAACTCACCACCATATCAACATTGATTTGAATTTTGAACAGTATGTATGTACATCACTATGTATGTCGTATGTACTGTATAATGTACACATGTAGAGTTGTAGAAAATACATGGTGTACAGACAGTACAGTACACTCTGACTGTACAGTCACTACAGTGTATACTGTATAGTAGGTGTGTAACAGTGTAATGCGTATAGTCTACTCTACACTCTACCTTTCAGCAAAGTTTTAGGGATTTAGGCTCAGTCAGCTCAGGGACTGTTCGGTTACTTTAGTTTGGTAAATGAAATAAATGTTTGAACTTTGTAGTAGTTCACTGTAGTTGCTGTCATAAGTCATTTGTAGACTAAGTGGCAAAAAGTGTTTTTTTTACATTTGTACTTTGTAGAGAAATGTAGACACAAGTTGGAAGGGAGCACAATAAACCTGACGAGTTTGAATTTGAGTTGATTATGAGTTTATTTTCAATTGATAATTAGCTCACAATAAGTTCACTTTAGTCACACAACTTGACACATGTCCGGACTTATAAGTCTGGACCTCAACCTCTGGACTTGAGTCCAGACCTGAACCTGAATGTGAGTCCAGGTACGCAGCACTATTCACACGTGACACTGGCATAACTCTTTGGGTTAAGACATTGGGCAATTCAATAAAATCATCTGTATCCATGCCAGACCAATGTATTGTCCAAGTGAGACAATACATTGGTACTCACAATTTTCTTTTGCCCCATTGTTTGCAATAGAATACTGGCTGGCTTGCCACTTAGCCCCAATCTCTTTGCAAGGCTATAAGTGCAAAAGGTACCGGAACTCCCCGGATCCAAAAATGCATAGGTCTGTACAACTCTGTCACTCATTTAGCTTTTCACTTGAACTGCAACAATCGAAAACACAGCATTGCACTCATCTCCGGCCCCTATATGGCCACATGTTTGAGACTGAGCAGATGTTACACTCAGAGGGCTCACAGGTTCTTGTGCTTCATTAAAAGGTGTACTTATACCCTTCTGCTCAATGTGAAGGACTGAAGGATGCTTTTGCTGACACACACTGCAATCCAATCGACTCCTGCAGTCTTTAATTATGTGTCCCCGTTTCAAGCAACCAAAACAAATTCCATGCTCCTTTATGAAATGTATCTTGTCCTTTTGTGTCTTTAACTTAAACTGTGAGTATTTTTCCAGTGAGTGGCTGGTTTGTTGGCAGAATAAACAGCATTTGTTGTGACTTTGGGCAGAAAAGGACTTGATCTTATTATCCATGTAGCCTTTGTTTCTTTCTTTCATTGCAGTGACACCGGTGGCAAAGGTGCCCTGTTTCCTATGCCTTGGTTCACTGTAGGGCTGAACGATTAATCGATTTTAAATCGAAATCGCGATTTTAAATGATGTGATTATCAAATCGCAAAGCCTGCAATTTTTTTTTACTTTATTTTTTTTACAATTTGTTTTTCTTCTTCTTGTGTGTCAGTCATCCACACCAATCAGAAGTGCTGTGCTCCACATGTACCAGCCATTTTTAATCAATCAGAAGTGGCCCATGATAGAAGGTGATAGACAGATTGATCCAATCACCTCCCAAGTATTTTTGAAAGTGCCTGCCCTTTCCAAATGGCTTCAGCTCTCCTAGATGGTTTGGTGAAACAAAGCATCTGAGTCAGGTTAGTAATGCTCCATCACATGTTCTACATCTATTACAGGGTGAATCTTAAACTGAAGCTTGACTTTAAAGCAACCCAACGGAAGTTTCATGTAAGTTTAGTTATTTCACTCGTAGCTCTGGCTGCGGGGGTGCTAGAGACGGGAGTACGTTGATACGACCTTCCTAGCCGGAGTTATGGCCGCATTTTACAATAAACTTCCGTTGGGTTGCTTAAAAATAAATATCGCAATCACAATATTTGTCAGAAAAATTGCAATTAGATTTGTTTTCCCCAAAATCGTGCATCCCTAGTTCACTGAGAGTGGGGGGTTTGTTGCAGCTGGTAAATTGAGTCCTGAATATTTCCAAACAGTGGGTCAGAGGAAATTCTAACTTGTTTTTCAACAAAGTTCACAAGGTCAATGAATAGTGCTCTGCCACCACGTCTCTCCTGCAAATCACATGCATGGCTCCTCCACTTCTCCCTCACCTTATAAGGAAGCTTCATCATGATGTTTCTGAGGTTTGATGGCATGTCCAACTCATTCATGTGCATGATTCGCTGTGTTAAATTTGAGCATTCCCGTAAGAACAGGGAAAAGGATTTCAGTGATTTGACATCTTCTGCTTTAACCAGAGGCCAGCTATCAATGTTGTCCATATAAGCAGAAGCAATTTTGTATTCATTTCCAAAATGTTCAGCAAGCAGGGATTTGGCTCTTTGGTATCCTTAAACAGAGGGGAGGTGCTGACAACTTTTCACCAGGTCTCTTGGTTGCCCCCTGGTGAACTGCTCCAAGAAATGTAAACAATCACTTGCATTATCAGTTTTAACCTCAACACAATTTTCAAAGGATCTGATGAAAGAATGATACTGAAGAGGATCACCATCAAATGTGGGTATATTTCTCACTGGTAGGGAGGATGCTACATTTTGCTGTACTAACATTGTAGTGATATCAGTTTGGTCATGTCATATTCAAGGAGGATGCTCGTCCTGTCTGTTGAGCATCATGAACCACCTGTGTTGGTGCTTGAGTGTATAGTGGTCTGAGGTCCGTCTGTAACACTGCCATTTGTTTAGGCCTGACAGTTTGTGATGTGTCTTTAAACCTGACGGTCTGTGAGGTTTCCTTTGGTCTTACAGTGACAGCCTGGGCATTAGGGTGAAATTCATTTTGCATGTTATTTTTGTCATTTCTCTGTGGGACAAATTGATTAGCCTGAGGATTGAGTTGCCTTGTACTCTGAGCCTTGTTCCTTTCAAGATAAGAGTTCATTCCATCCCTTTTGGAGCTGCATTTTGAGCTAGTTTCCAGAACATTGATTTTGGCATTAGTTGCAGCTAGCTCGGTCTCCAGAGCAAACTGTTCCTTTTCTTTTCTTAGTTCCTCCTTTTCTTTTCTTAGTTCCTCCTCCTTTGCTTCCAACTGATGTTTTCTTTTTAAAGCCTTCATTCGCTCCACAATTGCTGCTTTACCAGCCTCTGCTTTTAGCCTGGCAGATGCGGTGGATGATGTTTTAGATACATTAGAGTGTGTTTTGTGTTGCCTTTCCTTTGGACCTGAAATGTTAGAGGCACTGTCCTCCGGATTTATATCATCAATAACAGCACTTTGTTTAGTTTGAGTCTCAACATCAGTTTCAACATCAACATTGCTAACATCATTGTAATTATTTTCCACTTCATTGTCAACATTTTCATTTGATTCCACATGAGGGTGCCCAGCAGCAGCAAATCTCTTTTTTGTGTCCATATATACGCCGGGATCCTGAGTCGAGGCTAATCCTGTTGCTGTGGTCGTGTGTCCTGGATCCTCTATCCTGAGCACTGGATCTGAGTCCTGGACTTCGAGTTGTGGCTGAACCTGTCTCTGCGGTCCTGCCTGACTCTCACCATACTACTTCCCTGATGGCTCCCACAGATAGCATTCCCCTTTAAACTGTGGGGTTTCTCTGGAAGTTTTTCCTTGTACGATGTGAGGGTCAAAGGACAGAGGGTGTCGTATTGTCATACTGATATTCTGTACACACTGTGAAGTCCACTGAGACAAATGTAACATTTGTGATATTGGGCTATATAAATAAACATTGATTGATTGATTGATTGATTGATTCCAGGTAAACATACGAAATAATCAAGAAACATAAATTAAACATAAATTAAACACTGACAGGGAACATTTTACTGCACCATCGTTACTGTTACGTTAGAAGGTGCTGTCAAATGTTCTGATGATGCTTGCATACTTTTACTTAAATAAGGTTTGAATGCAGTATTTTAATTCTATACTGTAGGCGTAGTGTATCTGTGAATGATCCCAAATACAATTCCTTGTTTATTGCAGCTAGTGCTACGCCAGAAGAAAAAACCCTTTTTCATTTTCAAAGGGGCTGGGCTACATAAGTTGAATTGAGACAACAAAAATACACATTAAGTGGGACAAAGAAAGATAATGTGAAAATATAAAAACAAAGGCATTAATTAGGGCTGAAAAATGTCTCCCATTGTAATGGTGATTAGATTGTTAAATGCTAACACTTAACAGTTTATTCTGACTGTGTGTCTCCTGTTTTCTGCAGACGTCCAGCAGGTGGTGGTTAAAGAAGATGTTCTCCCTGACCAGCAGGAGTTGAGCACCAGTCTGGACCAGGAGGACCCAGAGCCCCCCCCACACATTAAGCAGGAACAGGAGGAACTCGGGGTCAGTGAGGAGGTGGATGAGGCTGATATCACCAAGTCCACTTTCACTCCTGACCCTGTGAAGAGTGAAGATGATAAAGAGAAACCTCAGTCCTCACAGCCTCATCAAAGACAAACTGAACACATGGAAACAGAAGCTGATGGAGGTGACTGTCGAGGACCAGAACCAGCCAGGAACTCAGATCCAGAGAGCAGTTTACAACCAAAGACTGAGGACCACACAGGAGACTCTTCTGAACCTGACACTGAAGACTCTTCTGAACCTGACGCTGAACACAGTGCTGATTGGAAGGAGACCAGAGAACCTGCGTCAGGCTCAAACTCACTGAAAAATAGACATGAATCTGTCAGTGATTCACGACGTAGTGCTGAAAATAAACCATTCAGCTGCTCAGTCTGTAAGAAAGCTTTTTCACTGAATGGAAATTTAAAGGCACACATGAGAGTCCACACAGGAGAGAAAGCACACAGCTGCTCAGTTTGTAAGAAAGTTTTTTCACAGAGTGGAATTTTAAAGGCACACATGAGAGTCCACACAGGAGAGAAACCTTTCAGCTGCTCAGTCTGTAAAAAAGCTTTTTCACGGAGTGATCATTTAAAGGAACACATGAGAGTCCACACAGGAGAGAAACCACACAGCTGTACAGTCTGTAAGAAAGCTTTTTCACTGAATGGAAATTTAAAGGCACACATGAGAGTCCACACAGGAGAGAAAGCACACAGCTGTACAGTCTGTAAGAAAGCTTTTTCACAGACTGGAATTTTAAAGGCACACATGAGAGTCCACACAGGAGAGAAAGCACACAAATGCTCAGTTTGTAAGAAAGCTTTTTCACGGAGTGGACATTTAAAGGAACACATGAGAGTCCACACAGGAGAGAAACCACACAGCTGTACAGTCTGTAAGAAAGCTTTTTCACAGAGTGGAATTTTAAAGGAACACATGAGAGTCCACACAGGAGAGAAACCACACAGCTGCTCAGTCTGTAAGAAAGCTTTTTCACGGAGTGGAAGTTTAAAGCAACACATGAGAGTCCACACAGGAGAGAAACCACACAGCTGCTCAGTTTGTACCAAATCTTTTGTGCAGTGTGGACATTTAAAGGAACACATGAGAGTCCACACAGGAGAGAAACCACACAGGTGTACAGTCTGTAAGAAAGCTTTTTCACATAGTGGAAATTTAAAGAAACACATGAGAGTCCACACAGGAGAGGAACCCTTTAGCTGTACTGTTTGTAAGAAAGCTTTTTCACAGAGTGATCATTTAAAGTCACACATGAGAGTCCACACAGGAGAGAAACCACACAGCTGTACAGTCTGTAAGAAAGCTTTTTCACAGAGTGGACATTTAAAGAAACACATGAGAGTCCACACAGAAGAGGAAGAATAGAGCTGCAATGTTTGTGACAAAAGATTTAAATGGCATAATCGTTTCAAAAGACACAAGTGTGTTGGTCGTCAGCTGCTTCTGTAACTGTAAGGGAATACATTTGTCTATTTTTTGTCCTGATGACCTCATGCCGTTACATGTAATACGTTACTCCCTAAGCCTGATTTCACCCACCTGCAACCGATTCACTAATATACACAAATGTTCATTTCTTTGACCCCTTGACTCGACAACTTGCTTGTTTAATAATCATTACATCTCCTCAGGACCAAGTTCCTGTGTCCTGCCTTTCACCTGCTGATCACCCACTGCTCATTTAAGGTGGACTGACCTTTAAAAGGGACCAGCTAGTCTTAGTGTCTTAATGCAAACGTTTTGTAAAGTGATGCTAGACCAAAGACGTGCTGTTGGGTTGTGTGCTCTCTGCAGGATGGTGTCTGTCCTCAAAGATTGTTGATGAAATGAGAGCTTCACTCTGTTTTTGTTGTCCAAACAACGCCAACAGAGCGATATGTCTTCTTTCCAGCAGATGGCATAAATGTTACATCATCCAGTTCAACTGTCATCCACACATTAATGATTCAAAACAGCAATGTGTGAGATATGGCTAGTAATTGACTATTTCAACAGAATGTGAAGAGGTTACAGTCTTGAGGCCATGTCCAATATGTTTATGCTTTGTTTGATTAAATCTACTGAAATGAGCATTCAATGACTCAATTATTCTGAATTACTGGCATTACATCATGGGTTTGCATTGCAATATTAGAACGCATAAAACCCAACTTTATTTCTTCCAAGTTGCAGGTGTTCATTGTTTAGAAGTCCGCTGTGTTTCGTCCAAGCTTCCACTTCGTGCTCCGATAATGCTGAAAGTATCTGTTGTATGCTTTACCTGCTCCAGTAACACAAGTGTAATTCACTGGACAGAGACAAGAGATAGTGGACGGATCCAGAGGAGAACCAGAAGATAGTCCGTATGGAGCCTTCAGGTTCTGAAAATGATCAGGGATAGAGCTAGAAAAAAAATCCAAAACCCTGAATAGAGCTAGAAGATAGCCAGTACAAAGCAAAGAGAGACCCAGTAGAAAGACAGGAAGGATCCAAAATATTCCTTTTATATTCAAGCTCTTCTTTTAAGATATTAGAACTTCCTAACTGAATATGTATCATTTTATTCCAATTAAACCTTACATTTGTGCTGCCAATTATTGAGACTGTTTCACAGCTTTATGTTAAATATTTAGATTGTTTTCTTTACATATAGATGACATAGGATGAACAGTACGATCCACTCTGCTGGATTCTGCCCAAATCGGCTCCAAATGCATGCAAACATCTCGTTTTACCCATACTATTGCAGTTGTATTGTTCTGGATTCAGAGTGAAGAGTATTAGATGTTCTGCACTCTTATTGTTATGTATTTAATATAAAGTGAAATACCCATAAAGTCAGAAAAGACAAGAGACTCACTTAAGGAAAAAGGCTCTTCATTTGCACATAAACATGGTCGAATATTTAACGTTGTGACCAGATGGTGTCGCCCTAATCCGTGTATCTACGGTCCATTTGTTTTTCTTTATTACACAAGTTAGCGGAAGAGCGTCTGAGAGGCCTTTTTGTTTTTTACCTTACTAAATGGTCATTGGAACGAGGGGCGGGGCGAAACTCACAGAGTCCCCTCCATAGTACATAATGCATGTTTTCTGCTGTCTTTTATGAGTGATAAAAATAAAATGTTACCATTAGTTCTTAATAAAATTGATACTTTTTGACTTTGTATTAGTTAGCCTACTACTAACAATACATTGAAGTACTTTTACTGTGTATCTTTTGAGAAATCCTCTTTCAAAGTCCCCTGCTGAGAACAAAATCAAGCCACTTCTGCTGAGCAGTCAGCAGTCAGTAGAATATAAGCAGTCAGTAGAATATAAGCAGCAAAACGGGTCTTTAACCATAGTTTTCTTTTTTAAGAAAAGTTGATATTTTGTTAAAAAACATGACTTTATTGTGTGATGGGTGTTAACTGGCCTTTGGCTCATCATGCATACTAATAATCTAAAGAGGAAGGAAAGCTCTTAACAGCCTGATATCCATCTGCTGCTCCTTGACGACAGAGGAAAGTTATCTTTAAACACATCGTTCTTCCTTCACTGTGAGTAGAAACAGTTTATTGATGTAATGATTCTGTAAACCTCCTGTGAACATTATTTAATCTGACATGTGTTATAGTCTCACAGAGATGAGAGGAGCAGCTATGAGTTTCACTGCAGCAGCGAGTGGATTAGTCGTCTTCCTGCTCTCTGTGTCAGGTACTGTACATCTACACTTACATTCATCACAGGAACAGAGGGGATTCTGGGAAAATGTGGGACTTGTAAAACCAGGTCACATGTGGGAATAAGTGGGATGGATTTGTGTAAAAGGCAAACCTAGCAGAAACATTTTAAATGTATTTGTGTGTAGAATTGGAGAAACACAAAGACGTTACTAGTTTGTTTGATGGATTTTCTGAAGATCTTGTCGTGCGTTGCCTCTGTCCTTTGCTCGAGTCATCTGCATAGAATATCAGTTTGCTTATCATCTTTACAAGCGTTAAAATGAGAGTATAGTGTCTGTATAACTGCTCCATCCTCTCTCTGTGAAAACACTTTGCTTTGTTTGTTTTTTTCATAAGACGACTTAAAGAATCTCCAGCTCTGTTTTTATTAAGTTGAAGTGATTTAGAGAGATATTCTTATTCTAAGTCTTAACATATTGACTGAACTCTTATCGATCATACGTCTGCCCCAAACCCTTCTAGTTCCTTCTCTCCTCTCTGACCTCAGTGTTATTTCCCACACTCTGAGTTACAGCAGTCTTCTTCTTTTTCTTATCTGTATATCAGACAGAAGCTGCTCACACCTCAGTGCTCTGCATTCATAGTTATTGTTCAGATACCTCAGCAGCAACCTGACCACAGAGCTAACAGAGAGGGAACTGGAACGAGAATCACACACTGTTATAATTAACCCTTTAACTGCCAGACCAAGACAAAAGCAATGGAAAACATATTTGGTTTGCATATTTTTATCAAATGGGCCACAAATAACTACAGTTTTGTTTTTATGAGCCTCTACCATCTGGTCGAACTGGCTTTCTATGGTAAAAGTGCATTTTCAAGAATCATTATATACAGTACAGTACAGTATTTATCAAACTCAAATAAAACACAAACTCAAATACGTTTGTATCTTTTATGGAAAATGAGCAATATATACATCCAGATATATTCATAAAAGATAATAAATTATAATTGTAAACAAAAGAAAATGGAAAAAAGTAATGTAAAGGGTTTTTCATGATAAAAAAAGACTTGCTCATCTTACTGTATATGCTGAATTAGCCTAACAGGAAACCACTGGCCGAACAGCAAATGTCTATATCCTGTGTTGGCCTAACTTGCTCACCTGTGTGCAACTTTGGGCTGAATGCCATGCATGAAAGGTGCTATACAAATGATTATCACTCTTTCACTCTGAGACTCATAAGGCAATACTAGATTTAGTAATATTATATATATAATATATTCTTCAGGAGTGATTTTTAGCATGCCAACTTTCTCAGTGGAAGCTAGCTGAAGGGCTTTCTGTTCGAACCACAGTGACATCTAGAGGTTGTTTTGTGCATAACATGTCAACCAAAGGGTAGAGCTGGCTGACTCAGATGGAGTAAAACTTTTGAATTTTTTTTCAAACAAGATATCAAGACACAAAATGTGCTGGCAGTTAAAGGGTTTAATATGATCGCTAATCCTTCACTGTTCACTCAAATGAAGGCATTTTCCAATCTTGTGTCAAACTGAACATACTCTTTCTGCGTAGACTTCTGTTCTACATGGTTTGATTAAGAAACAACAAAGTCAAAGAGTCTCATTGGTTTTAAAGTGCCTAAGAAGGAATTCACATGTGTGTTTCTGCTCTATCCCAGTAAAGATTGTAACTAGGGCCGGGACTCGATTAAAAAAATTAATCTAATTAATTAGAGGCTTTGTAATTAATTAATCGAAATTAATCGCATTTTTAATCACATATAAATATTTGACCTGAGAACAGTGAGAAGCAATTTTTTTCACATGGATTTTAGTATACCATTAGGCGCATTCACACCGCAGTACTTTTCCCACAAAGGTTCATGAGAATTTAGTTCATGAGAACTCTTTGAACCTGGGGGAGGATTAGAAAAATTAAGCCGCTGACGTCACTTCTTCTTCTTCTGCTTTGGGTTTACTGGCAGGCCGCAAACCACTTCACGGCGTATACTGCCGCCCAAAGTCCTCGGAGTTGGGGACTGGCTTCAGTAGAAGCTGCTGGGAGTCCCAGCAGCTTCTACTGCAGCCTTCCGAGTAAATCGCCAGAACGCCGACACCTCCTCATCTCCACCGCTCCCAAGTTTTATTTTGTGTTGCCATAAATTAGTCTCTCTGCGTTTCTGCGCTGGGCTAATGCTAATAATGCTAATGCGAGGATAATAAAATGGCGGCTTCACAAAACTTTTTGGGAGTTTTACGGGGCGTGGTTTGCAATCCACCCAGCCAATCAGAAATATAGCTCTTTTCTCACAAGAGAGCCGCACGAAAGTCCCTGCTCTCTAGCAGCTCTCTGCTCTCTAGCAGGGACTTTCGTGGGGGTAAAAAGGTTCTCATGAACTAATTTTAGTACCGGCTCTTTTTGGTGTCAACGCGATAAAAGAGGCTAACGTCCACGCTAGCTTCCACGCTAGTTGCTATATGTTTTGCATTGAGGTGATACTTGAGGCTTGATGTGCTGCGGTGATATGCGAATTCCTTTTTGCATAATTTGCACACAACCGTGCTCTTATCGACGCTTCCATCCGTCCGTTTTTTAAAACAACATTTCCCACTGTTGTTCACTGTGGTTTGTTGTTGTCTGAAGTCATGAACGTTAGTTGGTGCTCCAGTATAATCGGTACGCCTGAAACTCATCCAGTGAGAAACGTTCCGCGGTGCAAAAATAAGTGCGATTAAAATGCGTTAATTTTTTTAACACGTTAATTTTTGTGTGATTAATTAATCTTAATTAACGCGTTAAAGTCCCGGCCCTAATTGTAACATGTTTATCTTTACATTATTAGTTAAAGTACTGTTCAGGCAATTCCTCAACAATGTATAGATTAACTTTGATTCTAGTTTCTGATGTGCTCTGTGTTTCAGTGGTTCAGGGTCAGCATGGCTGGGGAGTGACTTACTCTTCTACTGAGATCTGTGCAGTGAAAGGATCAACAGTGGAGATAAGATGCAGCTTCACATACCCATCTAGATGGAAAGGTGGTGTTAACACAGTAGAGAAAACTTTCTGGGTCACTGAGAAGAAAGATGATGAATTTGTAGATCTGACCACAGTCTCAGAGTATGCAGGTCGTGTTGAGGATCTCTGTGAAAACAACATCTGCATTCTGAGACTCAGAAACCTGAGAGAGAGCGACTCAGTTCAGTACAAGTTCAGGATCAAAACAAACCAAGATACATACTTTGGTTATCCTGGACCCACTCTGTCTGTCACAGGTAACATTCACACTGGGTTTATAACAATCACTTCTTACAAATAGTGTGAATGTTTTGATTTATATTCATGTATGAACATAATGACAGTTTTGTTAATTCTAGCTTTATTCAGATCTCCAGGTGGAGGTGAGCAGATCAAGATCATCTACTCTCCTTCAGTGTCCCAGCAGTTGTCCACCTGGTCATACTTCTTACATCTGGTTTAAGAATGGACATGAAGTGAAGGAAGACACATCTCCTGATGCAAACTTCAGATATAATTCAGCAGACTGTTATTCCTGTGCTCTGAAGGGATATGAGGACTTCCCCTCTCCTTCAGTGTGTGAGTTTACTCGAAGTTTTCCACTGACATAATAATAATAATAATAATTCCTTACATTTATTATAGCGCTTTATCAATGACTCAAAGCGCTTTACATATACACACATTACACATATATGATACATGCAATGGTCAGATACTGTGGACAATACCCACAGGAGCAAGTTCAGGTGAAGTGTCTTGCCCAAGGACACACCGGCTTTACAGACGCAGCAGCGGCGGGTTTCACCCCTTGATCTGATGATCATTGCACAGCGCACTGCGCCACACCGTCCATCTTCACGCCTCGAAGACATCGAGGCGCTTTTACAGGTACACATTGGTATTATACATGTACTGTGGACAATACCCACAGGAGCAAATCCGGGTGAAGTGTCTTGCCCAAGGACACAACAGCTTGACACAGTGGCGGCAGGAGCGGGGTTCGAACTGGAGTTCCCCAGCACTCCCCCTTGATCTGATGATCGGATGCACAGACCACTGCGCCACCCGTCCCCTAATAACATTAACATACAGTATAACATATATCATCATTGCACTCATGTATCTATTTACCAACCAGAGGTCTCCACCAGATGGTAGTGTCCAAAGACACTGAACCAGAGCTCTAGGTTTTCTGTCTGATTTTAAAATAGGTAACATATAACCTAGCTACGAGGGATGCTACTAGAAAGAAGAATAAAGGAGAATTATGAAGGAAACTTCATCCATGACATAAAGATTAACACTTTCCCTCAAAGTGTTTAGATTTCTGATACAGAATGGAATCAAGTGAACCACCCACTCTGTGTTTTATTAAACTATTGTTCATTAAAACATCTTCCTCTGTGGAATTAAATGTGAAATATGTTCATGTTATCTCCTCCAGATGCTCCAAGCTTTAAAATGTGTTGCATTGTGTTTGTGAAAAACAGTTCCTGCTTCGTGCCTCTGGATATTTGCAAGTTGCCATTATATTTACCCTTCCATGTTAATAACTTTAAACACTTCTCTTCCAGACTATCCAAAGCCTCCCTCTGTGTCAGTGAGTCCCTCTGCTGAGATAGAGGAGAGCAGTTCAGTGACTCTGACCTGTAGCAGTGATACTAACCCAGCAGCTAACTACACCTGGTACAAGGAGGATGGAAATGCACACCTTTCTTCTTTCAATGAAGGACCACGTCTTTTCCTCAGCTCCATCCCGTCCTCTGACTCTGGACAGTATTACTGCAGAGCTGGGAATCTGCTGGGGAACACAATATCTGAATCCATCTCTATTGATGTGACATGTGAGTGAAACCCAGATCATATAAAAAGCATCATGCAACCAATGGCAACTTGTTCAGTCTTCTGCTGAGGTCAATGAGATGGAGAGCAACTACAGTAGATGCAACCCAGTCTCACAAAAAAACGTGTAATAACTACGTTGGTCCACAACTTGGGACGTAGTATTTCTACAAAAACGCCTCTGAAATTGTAAGATCCCTAAGTTTTTTTTCACCATTCATTCCAATGGCTGGCATCTATGTCACGTGATCTTCAAATTTCTCCCTGCAGAAAAATAAACATGGCCGTTTTATTCTCGGTGGAAAATGCCTATTTTAAGGTTAGTTTGGCCAATAAATTGCAATTTGATGCGAGAAATATGAGTTGTTATTTCAGATTATGTGTGCAGTGGATGTACATGATCTTTAGTTTGCTAGTTATTACGAAGATTACTTCAGGAAATTGTGTCAATACAACGTTTTCATTGTTACCAAGGTGGTTGCGAGGGACGCTGCTATCGATAATTTCTGTTATTTTGTGTAACTGTTTAATGGTGTTATCTTTATTGCTACCCCCTTCCCCGTCAATGTATAGTGTTGGTCCACAGCGCAAACGTATTAGTTTAACAAAATCCGCATCTAAAATTGTGGCATAGATACGTTATTTTCCCCTGTGCAATTCCAGTCTCACATCTCACATCACATCGTCATAAACAAATACCGGAAACAGACCGAAAACACTTTATTCCGAGTGTGCTTGCTTTTCTCTTTGGAGGTCATCACATAACGGCATTGTAATACACGGTTCGGCTGTATTAAATTACATATCTGCCGTAGTTCTCTATTTATAGAGCCCTGATGAGAAGACTTCTAGACAAACATGAGAAACTGCCGCCAACACTGAAAACGTGACATGGATCATAAATATATCAGCCATTAAACAACATCTTACATTTATTTTCACACAATACGTCTCCTTGCAGTATCAACACTAAATCGGATGACTTTGATATTTGATCCGATTGGTAGATAGGCTGTATTTACACCATAACGGTGCAGAGCTGATAGAAAGGGACACCTAGTGGTTAAAGCATGTTATTGAATTTCATTATTTTTATTATTAGATGCTAATAGGATCCCTATAAAGTATATTCATTACTCGTTATTCTCTACTAATAGTTAATTAAAGACTGTATATGATGGCTATTTTGCACATCCCTTTCAAGATTTCAAGATTTTCTAAGGTTTATTGACATATCATATACACAACTACGGTGTATTATGCATTGAATGAAAAACTTGGGTCGCAGGTTCCTCAACAGTGCATTACAAGACATCTATCAATATGTGTGTATACCTCCAGCAATGTTAACTATGTTGAAGCAATTATTTTAACTGATATTATACATATGTATTATGTGTCCAACTGGATTTTGACAGGATAACAACTGATGACTTCTAGAATTGTGTGAGTAACTTTCTGTTTTTAGACTTCTCTGTTTCAGTGTGTGTACTCTGTATAAATGCTCTGTAGTTGATCTGACTGAAATTGTGATTTTAAATCTCAAAACCGCTACAGTATCTGTCAGGCAGAAACTTGGGACAAGTCATTTGACTGAAACCTTAAAACTGAACTAACTGACTGCTAGGGTTAACTTTGATTTAAACATTTGTAGAATACTAAGAGCTTTATTGAGTAGGTGTAAATGTATTAAGGGTTAAACTCATAACTGTATAACTTAGGGTTTAATTTAATTGTAAAACCATTGTGCCACTGAAAAGACAATAACAACTCAGGAGGGAGCCAGTCTCAATTTCCTTTTGAGGGCCACCAGCTACAGAGAGTTAACTAATTAAAGGGGCGTGGCCCCACAGCTGTGAGAACTCAGCAATCAGGTGTCCATTTTAGGTAGCATTTTCCTGGAGCGTCAGCTTCAGCGTCAGACTGACAAAGACATTAGAGTCCTGCAGGAGTCACGAGGGAGGCAAAGAGGAGGCAAATCCTACTCTGATTGATCTAGTTTCAGGGGGCCTTTGGAACTGCCAGTCAGCTTTTCCTAAGGCTGACTTCATCTCTGGCTACGCTTCCCTGGATTTCCTTGCTCTCACTGAGACCTGGATTACTCCATCCAACACATCCACCCCAGCAGCTCTCTCCACAGCATATTCCTTCTCCCATACACCCAGACCCACTGGCAGAGGAGGTGTCACTGGTCTCCTGCTCTCTCCCAAATGGAGCTTTTCCCTCTTCAAGCTACCTAACTTCACTCCTTCCACCTTTGAATTCCATGCCGTCACAGTAACCCATCCTATAGAATTAACCATTGTTGTTCTCTACTGTCCACCAGGCGCCTTGGGAGACTTCTTGGAGGAGTTAGATAATCTCCTCTCACACATCCCTGCAACTGGCCCTCCCGCTGTACTTCTCGGAGACTTCAACCTCCAGACAGGGAAGATAGCTGAACTAACATCTCTGTTAACCGCCTTTGCTTTCTCACTGTCTCCGTCCCCACCAACTCATAAAGCTGGCAATGTCCTTGATCTCATATTCTCAAGGAACTGCACTACTTCTAACCTCACTGTAGACCCGCTTCACACATCCGATCACTTCTTCATTTCATTCTCTCTAACCATTTCCAAACTTAACAAACTCATCTCTTCTCATCCTGCACCTGTCCGCCGCAACCTTCGTTCCCTCTCCCCCTCTACCTTTGCCTCATCGGTGCTCTCAGCCCTCCCTTCCTCTGACTCGTTCCAACTCCTGCCTCCAAACTCTGCTGCAGAAACTCTCCTCTCTACTCTCTCATCCTCTCTGGACTCTCTCTGTTCTCTCTCATCTCTGCAGGCTCGTAAGTCCCCTCCTGCTCCCTGGCTGAATGACGCACTGCGTGCTAATAGAACCATCCTTCGGGCAGCAGAGCGGAAACGGTGGAAATCCAAACACCATGACGACCTCCTAACCTATCAGGCTATCCTCTCCTCTTTCTCTGCTTCCATCTCTCAGGCAAAAAGCACTTTCTTTCAAGATAAGATCCAATCTTCCTATTCCAATCCCAAAAAACTATTTTCCATCTTTTCCACCCTCTTGGACCAACCTTAAGCCCCTTCCCCCTCCTCCCTTCTGTCAAGCGACTTTGTTAACCACTTTGAAAAAAAGGTTGATGATATTCGCTCTTCTTTTTCTGACTCACCTTTACTCACCGCTGGGTCGCCAGACCCTCCTTTCACCCACACACTAACCTCCTTCTCCCTTCTATCTCCAAGTGGGATTCTTACCCTCATTACCTCTGCCCGCCCTACCACCTGTCCTCTGGACCCTATCCCCTCAAACCTCCTTCAGACTATCGCTCCTGATATTCTACCGTTTCTCACTCATTTCATCAACACTTCTCTAAATTCTGGTCACTTTCCAAACAGTCTCAAGGAGGCAAGAGTAAACCCTCTCCTAAAAAAACCCACTCTCAACCCGTCTGATGTTATAAACTACAGGCCTGTCTCTCTCCTCCCGTTCTTGTCTAAAACACTTGAACGTGCTGTCTTTAAACAACTCTCCTGTTATCTCCATCAGAACAACCTTCTGGATCCGCACCAGTCTGGTTTCAGGGCAGGTCACTCCACAGAAACTGCCCTCCTTGCTGTCACTGAGGACCTGCACACGGCTAAAGCAGCCTCCCTCTCCTCTGTCATCATCCTTTTGGACCTGTCTGCTGCATTCAACACAGTGAATCATCAGATCCTCCTTCGCACTCTCCAAGAACTTGGAGTTTCAGGCTCTGCACTTTCCCTCCTCACCTCATACCTCAAAGACCGCACCTACAGGGTCACTTGGAGAGGGTCCGAGTCCGACCCTTGTCAATTAACTACAGGGGTCCCTCAGGCCTCTGTTCTTGGTCCCCTCCTCTTCTCCTTGTACACAAACTCGCTCGGATCAGTCATTAGCCTGCATGGTTTTTCATATCCCCGCTCAGAGACCCAGGTCGTCGCACGCATCTCTGCTTGTCTAGCTGACATCTCTCAGTGGATGTCTGCTCACCACCTCAAGCTCAACCTTGACAAGACTGAACTGCTTTTCCTTCCGGGAAAAGATTGTCTCATTCTTGACCAACATTGGCACCTCTATTGTTTCCCCGACACAGACTGCAAGGAATCTGGGTGTGACCCTAGATAACAAACTGTCCTTCACTGCAAACATAGCTGCTACAACCCGCTTCTGCAGATACACTCTTTACGACATCCGGAGAATACGTCCCCAGCTGACCCAGAAAGCTACGCAGGTTCTGGTCCAGACTCTTATCATCTCACGCCTAGACTACTGCAACTCCCTCCTGGCTGGTGTACCTGCATGTGACATCCGACCTCTGCAGCTCATCCAGAATGCAGCTGCTCGTCTGGTCTTCAACCTTCCTAAATTGTCCCACACCACGCCACTCCTCCGCTCCCTTCACTGGCTTCCAGTAACTGCTAGAATCCACTTCAAAACAATGGTACTTGCGTACCATGCTGCGAATGGATCTGGCCCTTCCTACATCCAGGACATGGTTAAACCGTACAGCACGTGCACTCTGCTCTGCATCAGCCAAACGGCTCGCTGCACCCGCACTGTGAGGGGGACCCAAGTTCCCATCAGCAAAAACACGTGGGTTTGCTATCCTGGCTCCAAAATGGTGGAATGAGCTCCCCACTGCTCCTGTCGAGGAGTCGTTTTTTGGAACTCGTCTGGCTTTTGGAGGTCCACGGAGCCTTCAGGCGGCTTCTAAGAGAAGGAGTCGCAAGTCCAGGCTAGCAGCCCGAGCCCCAAGAGCCATGATTCCGGTCCCAGTTCTGGCACCAGCGGCCATGGTTCCGGCCCCAGCAACCATGGTTCCAGCCCCAGTACTGGGCCCAGCAGCAATGGTTCCGGCTACAGAACCAGTCCCCACAGCCATGGTCCCTGCTACAGAACCGGCCCACACAGCCATGGTCCCAGCCCCAGTCCTGGCCCCAGTCCTGGCCCCAGCAGCCATGGCTCCGGCCCCAGCAGCCATGGTTTCGGCTTCAGTACAGTCCCCAGTAGCCATGGTCCTAACTCCACTTTCGGCTCCAGGACTGGCTCTCCGGCCAACGCCAGCTCCCCGTGTCCTGTCGGCGTATCGGCCGACTCCAGCACCTCGTCTCCCGTTGGCTCTCCAGCCGACGCCAGTTCCCCGAGTCCTGTCGGCGTATCGGCCGACTCCAGCTCCTCGTCTCCTGTTGGCTCTCCAGCCGACGCCAGCTCCCCGTGTCCTGTCGTCGTACCGACCGACACAAGTCCCCTCTCAAGTTCCCTCTCAAGTTCCCTCTCAAGTTCCCTCTCAAGTTCCCTCTCAAGTCCCCTCTCAGGTCCCCTGTCTAGTCTCTCCTCAAGTCCCCTCTCAAGTCCCCTCTCAGGTCCCCTCTCGAGTCTCTTCTCGAGTCCCCTCTCAAGTCTCCTCTCAAGTTCCTACGCCAGCTCCCCGTGTCCTGTCGTCGTACCGACCGACACAAGTCCCCTCTCAAGTCCCCTCTCAAGTTCCCTCTCAAGTTCCCTCTCAAGTTCCCTCTCAAGTTCCCTCTCAAGTCCCCTCTCAGGTCCCCTGTCGAGTCTCTCCTCACCTCTCGAGTCTCCTCTCGAGTTCCCTCTCGAGTCACCTGTCAAGTCTCCTCTCGAGTTCCCTCTCGAGCCACCTCTCTGTTTCCCCCTCGAGTTCCCTCTCGAGTCCCGTCTCAAGTCACCTCTCGAGTCCCCTCTCAAGTCCCCTCTCGAGTCTCCTCTCAAGTCCCCTCTCGAGTCTCCTCTTGAGTTCCCTCTCAAGTCCCTACCCAATGTCCTGGTCCGTTGGAGGTTCCGCTGGGGGTCCTGCCAACCCTGTTTCCTGTGCCGTTGGAGGCCCCGCCATCTACTCCTCTGCCGGGGGTCCTGCAAACCCTATGTCCTGCGAACCCTATGTCCTGTGCCGTTGGAGGTTCCGCTGGGGGTCCTGCCAACTCTATGTCCTGTCCCGTTGGGGGTCCCGCCGACTACTCTTCTGCCGTGGGTCCTGCCAATCCTGTGTCCTGTCCCGTTGGGGGTCCCGCCGACTACTCTTCTGACGGGGGTTCTGCCAATCCTGTGTCCTGTCCCGTTGGGGGTCCCGCCGACTACTCTTCTGACGGGGGTCCTGCCAACCCTATATCCTGTGCCGTTGGAGGTCCCGCCGACTACTCTCCTGCTGGGGGTCCTGCCAACCCTGTGTCCTGTTCCGTTGGGGGTCCCGCCGACGACTCTTCTGCCGGGGGTCCTGCCAACCCTATGTCCTGTTCCGTTGGAGGACCCGCTGAGAGTCCTGCCAATCCCATGTCTTGTTCCGTTGGAGGTCCCGCCGTTACCTGTCTCACCGGGGGTCCTGCCAACTCCTGGTCCTCTTCTGTGGGGGATCCTGCTGAAGCCTGTCCCACCGGCTCTGGTTCCTGTCCGGCCGACACCAGGTCCTGCCCAGCCTCCGGAGCTGTCCCGTCAGCGCCTTCCTGCCCGGCCCCCCTCGAGCCGCGGTCTTCGCCTTCGAGCCCGGCCCCCTGAGTGCCGCGGTCTTCGCCCTCGAGCCCGGCCCCCTGAGTTCGCCCGCTGTGGCCTTCGCCCCTCCATGGACTCTGCCTTGCCCCCGGGCCATCAGCCCGAGAACCCCTCCGTGGACTCAGCCTTGCACCCGGGCCGTCCGCCCGAGACCCCCTCCATGGTCTCTGCCTTGCCCCCGGGCCGTCCGCCCGAGACCCCCTCCATGGTCTCTGCCTTTCCCCCGGGCCTTCCGCCCGGGATCCCTTCCGGGTCCTCCGCTGTGCTCCTGGGTTGTCAGCCCAAACCCGTCCTCCTGACCCCCTCCACCCACCCTGGAGGCCCTAGTTTTGTGTCCCTCCTCCGGTCCCCCTCCACCCACCCTGGAGGCCCTAGTTTAGCCTTGAAATAAAGGAGTTTTTTATCACTTTAATCTGCATTCGGGTCCTGCTTCCTACACACACCGTAACACTTATATGATTCTGTTTTCTTCAAGTTTGTATTTTGTTGGTCGAATGTACTTATTGTAAGTCGCTTTGGATAAAAGCGTCAGCTAAATGCAATGTAATGTAATGTATTATACTCTTATAAGATGTATGTAGATAGTATAATAAATGTGCAGAATATGACAGTTGGACAGGTGGAGGTATAGACACATATTGATAGATGTCTTAAAATGCACTGTTGAGGAACCTGTGACACAAGTTTTTCATCTCCAACCTTGTCAGGTATTGAACAATCAATAAATAAAGAACACGGAATTATTAAATATAAAACACAGAATTTGTGTGATTATACTAAATGATTTACAAATAAACACCACTGCATATTTACAACTGTTACACATGCTGATGTAACGCAAATGTTTCCAACTTGGGATCAATAAAGTATATCTTATCTTAAGATGATCGATGGCTACTGCCATATTTGCAAAATTTGCCTCTGAACCTTGACAAGTGCATGTTTCAGGCTTATCAATTGATGTAATGTAATGTTATCAATTGACAACAGGAGGGGTCACAGACATAAGACCAGCTGTTAAATAAAGCTCTTCTGACCTTAGCTGGCATGTGGGTATATATATTAATGCTGCCCATTATTGGCACAAGCAATTTTCACCCATTTATTAATTATATGTTTTACATTTTAGTGTTTCCTATCCCCTAAACGTCCAGGGATGTACACAGTTGAATACTGGCAACTTCTTATTATGGGAAATACGAAAACGTCTTTTAAAACTACAATTCCCAGTAGAGACGTGCCATAGATAGAGAACATGTTGCGAAACACAATAGCTAGCATGTGTAGTTCTGGGTACGGGGTGGGGTAGGGGGGGACGGGGTGGACCCGTTCAAATCCAGTTTTGGACAGTCTACCGTGGTTCCATCCCATTTCAAGTGCTGTTCGACGCTCGGCGTAACCCTCGGAGCACACTCAAACATCCAATCACAGAGCTTGAGGACTATCACAGGGTTTGTACTTCCGGGTGTAATATTCTCTAAAGCAAATGAGCAGCTCCGACCCTCGGTCATGACGGACTCCAACTTGTGTTTATTAATCAAACAAATAAATAAACACAAAGATAATTATGTGTTATTGTTGAGTAAATGGAGAATTACACAGGGGAAAATAACGTAGATCTATGCCACACTTTTAGATGCGTATTTTGTTAAACTAATAAGTTTGCGCTGTGGACCAACACTATAAATTGACGGGGAAGAGTGTAGCAATAAAGATAACACCATTAAACAGTTACACAACATAACATCGATACCAGCATCCCTAGCAACCACCTTGGTAACAATTAAAACGTTGGATGGACACAATTTCCTGAAGTAATCTTCGTAATAACTAGCAAACTAATCATGTACATCCACTGCACACATAATCTGAAATAACAACTCATATTTCTCGCATCAAATGACATCAAAACGCATTTGAATGGCCAAACTAACTTTAAAATAGGTTTTCCAACGAGAATAAAACGAATGTTGGCCATGTTTTTTTTTTCTGCAGGGAGAAATGTGAAGATCACGTGACATAGACGCCAGCCATTGGAATGAATGGTGAAAAAAAACGTAGGGATTTTACAATTTCAGAGGCGTTTTTGTAGAAATACTACATCCTACGTTGTGGATCAACGTAGTTATTACACGTTTTTTTGTGAGACTGGGTTGGTAGATGATTGTAAAGGAATATTTTAGTCTTGTTAAAGTATATAGAGTTTAGTGACTTGTCCTCGGGAATCTGTTTAATGGTTAAAGTGTATTCCTGCCTGTAATGTGATCCATAGCTTCTCAGGAAGACACAGGTCAAGAGGTCATCTGATGTCTTGTGGGGGGAGAAGCTTGGCTCATGTGGGTTTGCAATACAACGAGTCTTTGTCTCGACATCTGGCATGCATTAAAGGAAAACCCGCGTGTTTTAGGGCCCTCCTCTTCTTACATATAGATGGGTTCTTGGCGCTTTTGTCTTGAGAGTTGGCTGGTATTTTACATGAGAACTGTAGTATACTGTGATCTCTCCGGCCGTTTGTCTCTCAATAAATATCAGTGTATTGACAGGCGAATCCAGTTTCCCTCATTTGATGATTGGCTCAACATTGCTGCAAAGAAGTTTTTACTTCACAATGATGAAAATGCTGTTTTGTTTATAGGCTCCCAGATTAGCACGTATTTTCAGGTAATTAAAACCAGTAGTTATACAGAAAAATAAATATAAATGCGTATACTTATTTTCCTTCAGCTCTATAACTGTCAAAAGAACACTTCCAAATTCCAGATGCTCCCACACAGATAACTATTTCTCATTAAATACACCATGATGTATTTTAACTCAATTGTATTGTCTATTGTATTTCCTCTAGATGCTCCAAAGCCTCCCTCTGTGTCAGTGAGTCCCTCTGCTGAGATAAAGGAGGGCAGTTCAGTGACTCTGACCTGTAGCAGTGATGCTAACCCAGCAGCTAACTACACCTGGTACAAGGAGGATCAAAATGCACACCTTTCTTCTTTCAATGAAGGACCACGTCTTGTCCTCATCTCCATCCAGTCCTCTGACCCCGGACAGTATTACTGTATGGCTGAGAACAAGCTGGGGGTGAAGACATCTAACAGCATATCCATTGATGTGAAATGTGAGTGAAACATTGTTTTAAAGCTTTGATCTGTCCAGTCTTTGCTGGAGAAGATTGCACTGATCTTTACTACTTTCTTCAGCTCTATCGCTTCTCATTCACAGTCTGCTGTGTTTCTCTGAGTAGCTTCAGGTGATTTTAAGATACTAAACCGTTTTTTTAAAGGACATTTATTGACAATAATTTCCCAAAAACCTATCAATTTATCCAAAATGCAACATCTGCGAATGCCATGTAAATATTTAAAACCTCCTGATGTGAATGACCCGGGTCTCTCTGAATCTCCAGATGCTCCAAAGCTTCCATCTGTGTCAGTGAGTCCCTCTGCTGAGAGAGAGGAGGGCAGTTCAGTGACTCTGACCTGTAGCAGTGATGCTAACCCAGCAGCTAACTACACCTGGTACAAGGAGGATGAAGACTCTCCAAAAGCTTCAGGACAGATCTTCACCATCACTGACTTCAGAGCAAAACACAGTGGGAGTTATTCCTGTGGAGCCCAGAACAAGTTAGGACGTAGCAACTCCACCTTTCATCTGAGTGTTGGAACAGGTAAGTTCTCTACATTCACCAGAACTGATTCACTTTGTAATCTGAAGCAACCCAAGCATATTCAAAATGTCAGTGTTCAGGGAGGAACCTCCATGGTGTCAGAGGTGGATCACACTGACAATGTGATTTATCAATCTATAGTTGAGGCCCTGACACACCAGGCCGAAATCGTCCGTTTTCGTTTGTCGGACGACGAAGCGTCCCCTCCCTGTCGCCCAAACTTAATTTGGTGTGTCCCGCACCGTCGGCCGTGACACGCCTTATTTGGCCTTCCATGGCCGACGCACGGCCGATTCAACATGTTGAATCGGCCGTGCGTCGGCCACAGGCAGTCGGAAAGAGAAATCACTCTGATTGGCTGTTCAGCTAGCGAATCAGTGCATGAGAAGCGAAACGGTTGCTTGAGAATGTCTTCCACAAGCAACACTCCAATGGCTGATAGCTCCAGTACCGCACGAAACATGTTTTCGATGGACGAGAGTGAAAATGGAACGCACACGCTATTTGTTGTTTGTTTAAATCACGCAGTCTGTTCTTCTTCTCTGTCTTCCAGTTGTTGCCTCTTTTGAATGACGAATACACACTACCGCCGCATGCTGGTAAGGAGAATTATTGCCACTCACGCATGCGCAGTTCGTACGTGCTACTTGGCCGTCGGCTAAAGTCTTTGCGGTGTGTTCCAGTGCGACTGTTGGCCAAGAAGCAGGAGACACAACAGTCGTGTTCTGTCGGGACGTGTTCTTTGGTGTCAGTTTGGTGTGTCAGGGCCTTTAGAAGTATCACATATGTGTTCATCTTTCTAGGGAGTTAACCAATGATAGTGAATATCATCAGGATGACTCTGGGGGTCTTGATGCTTATTCCTGTGTTTCTCCTGAGTCTGTGGACGAGGTACAACCATATCAGTTCATCACTTCACACATCCTTCTAACATCTTTTAGTTTACAATTAGGAAATAAAATCTGTATTTGTTGTTGCCCTTAATCCAGGAAGAAGAAAGCTCTGCGCTCCACCACTGAAGCACCTGAAGAGATAGAGGTGAGAGAGAGCGGACCTATTGACAACACTTCCCCTTCGTCAAAGCTATACTGTGGCTCATAAATGCAATGAGAAGACAACTTGTGATCAAAGACAACGTCCTGAGTTGAAACCAGTAATGAATTTAGCCAATAAATAATTGGGGTCAACTTTAAAATATGAAAAATGTTTTATAAATTCTTAAAGTATATGCAGGTTTCATGAATGAGGGTCTGATGTTGTCTTCTCTCTCTTCATCAGTTGGACTCTATCCCTGAGTATGAGAACGACTCACACACTGCAGCACAGACAGAAGACACAGAGGAGCAGGGAGACATGGTGTGAAGTCCACTCAGGTTAGAGCCTCCTGCATCAGATCAAACAGGCCCACTCCACATTTAGAGTCACAGTTCCAGCTGTAACTTTACACAAAGTCTCTCTGATTCTCTGCAGATGCTCTCCTGATAGAAACAAAGAAGAAGGACATTGAAATGTCCCTGAGGAGAGCGAGGTTGTGCAGGATGTGTGCGAAGTGGATATATTCACGTTCAACTCTTAGAGCTTTTATAGTCAGTGTTCAGCAGCAGCAGCAGATAGGAGTCAGCAGCTTGTAGGTTTAGAGAATGAGCTGCTGGAAGCTTAAAGTGAATCATGTCGAGGTGTCGAACATGATTCATCGTTAAGACCAGCCTCAGGTGCTCTATATTACTGCTTCAACTATGTGTACATGCTTATGTGTTACATGCAGACTGCAGAGTTGTTGATATTACAGAAGTCTAGTCAAATTGTTTTTTTTAATTCCACATAATAAATAACTTTTAAGAGTCCTCGTCAGTGTCTTGGTTAATAGCTGTCCTGGCTGACAGAGACAATCAAGTCTATTTAAAACAGAGAGCCAGAAAACATCACCTTTCACTCCATGTACAGTTTAGATGTTCACACCATGAAACATAAGCTCACTAGTAGAATACCTTGTTAGATGTTACTGTGTAAGATTACAATCAGAATAAATCAACAGCAAGCTCTTCAACAAGTGAAGGACCATCGGACGAGTGTTTGGAAAAGATCACCTTCAAAGATCTCTAGATTTCAGGTTTTCTGTTTCACTTAGCGGTATATCATGTTTCATTATTAGCTAGCAATACAAACACAACATCTAATAAGTGTTGCTTTTGTTTATCTCCCATAGTGTCCCCATGTGGTGATGTGTCACTAGGAAGGAAAGGAGCCACAGTGTTCATAAGGATCTGGGATGTTTCTGATATGAAGATCCACAGACAGAGTCTTCAACTGAGAATCAATTTAAATTATTTGCATTTGGAAAAATGCTGATAGTCATATTTTAAAAACCACCCTCCCTTTCTCTTCCATCACCCCAACGCTTTATCCCTCAATCCTTCATCCCCATAACCATTCATCCTTTCATCCCTTCACCTTTCATTCCTTAATGTGTCCTTTTCCTTCACTCCTCTATTCATACACATACAGTTTATCTTTCTGTCTCCCCTCATCTATTTCAAATGATATGTACTTTCTGGGCGCGTCTTCATTCAGACCAGACAGAAAAACGCTTGGGACTAAATTCCCATACACTGAGAGAGCAAGCACTCTCCTGGCTGGCTCTCTTAAATGTACATTCATTACATTGTTTTAGCTTAACTTAACTGTAATATGTTCTTTCTACATTTCAAACCTCAGTTACTCTAATATCTGTTGAAATATTACAAAATGGTTTCATTATCAGAGGTCAACTTCTTCGGTATTCTATTCTGGACTTACATCTCTCACAGTAGCCCCTTGGCCACTGCTTCTGTGTTACCTGTTATAATTCAATCAATATTTAGAAACATGTCAACATTCATCAAACAGTATCTTAGCCCCAGATATGGAGCAAGTTAATTCTAAAACTATCATTCAATACTCAGTTTGAACATCTGGGTTGGGGCGGAAGGTTTCTTTCAATCCCTATAAGAAAAATGTAAATTGTGAATTTTACAACCATGTTGACATTATACATGATACACACTCACCCCTTTTTACACATTAACTCATGTGTAAGAAAATCCTGTAATGTGGAGTATAATGTGGAATAGAGTTTGTCAAAAAAGATCTGGAAATGATTGAGCCCTGAGACCTCCTTGACCACATCCCCAACTGCCAGCTCTAGACGATGATTGGAGCAGTGCCACACAAACAGGCTTGGGAATTTACTACACAACTGGGTAGCAACGCCTGTTCTCTTCCCTAGCATGACTGAAGCCCCATCACATGCAAAAGAAACGAAACACTGACCTAAAAAGTCCTCGTTAAAATCTCTTCCAAGACACTCCATTAACGCCTTTGTGATGTCATCAGCCGTTGTTCCATCCAACTCGATCAGCTCCCAAAAAAACGGTTTCGGGCTCAGCATTAGCTGATGCTGAGCGTAGACACACAACAAGCACCGTTTTACCACTAATAGTGGTAGATTCATCGACCAAAACACAGAGTTTTCTTTGGTTTTCTGTAATGTCTTTTGCCATTTTTTTCTTCAGCTCATGAGCTATGTGGTCGATGATTTCGCCACAGGTTTTATTGGAGTGCAAAACCCTGCCCACGTTCAGCCCATTCAGTTTCTGTACATTCAAATCAATTGGCATGTCTGTGAATGGCCGGCTATGTTTGCCAATTTTATATGCCGTTCGAAAAACTCTGATAGTGGTGTCTAATTCAGATTTATGCATAGACTGCACTTGATGTTGAATAGTTTCACGTGAAGCAGATGTAAGGATGGCAGCAGCTTTTACATGGGCTTGTGATTCTTTATGTTCTTTGATTTTTTTTCTCAGGCTAGCTTGTTGTTTGCCCTTGTCAACACCGAAATGAGACACTGCACACTCACCCCATTCAGTTGACAGTTTCAGTCCTTGTCCAGTGTGTATTCCCAAAGATTTTGACATCTCTGCATATCCGACATCCTAGCTTCTTATCTTTAAGAAGGAGCCATGCATTGGTCTTGCAAAAATATTGCACCTGGTCCGTTGTCCAGCAGTCAGGTGCATCGCTTTGCCCGGTGTTGGTGGTGGCAGTTGCGCCAGCAGCAGCTAACGTTAGAGGCTCTGGAGGAGGCGGCGGAGCTAGTGCTAATGCTAATGCACTAGAACTTGGAGCAGGAGGATCAACCAAAGAAAGCTCCCCATCAGACACAATTTCCAACACAGGCACAGCATTCTCTGTATTTGAAGTTTCTTCCGGCGACAACCGCTGTCTTTTTGCACTTTTATTAATCCACGCTAACATTTTAGAAATGCTAATTTGTGACGTGACTTGCTTTCCTTCTCTCGGGGGAGTGCCTGCTCTGTTCTATCACTCTACATAGCCACCCACTGGGTGGGAGTTGCACTGCATAAACACAACACACGTGCATCTAGGTATGTAAATTGTAAAGCATTAAAACATGGTTTTACTAACAGTTTTCAGTATGTTGTTACTTCGGCATTATTATTATTATTATTTTGAAACGTGTATTACTATTAAATCACGGTCAAATAGGTTAATTTTGACATAGTCGTTTCCACCACAGTATTTACATGGAGAAGATAAGCCCCGCCCCCTCTCCAGCACGTTCTGTTTGAATGACAGGAGTAAACAGCTGACAGCCGCTGTGAAACTCCAGCGGTTAGAGCGATGAGAATGTCCGTTCGGCACCTCATGACGCATCTACTGAGTACCGGGCGGCTGTATATATATATATGGATGTATAATAAGAACGGCGGGAGAGTGTTGAGTACTGGCACGGTGCATGAGTACCGGAGTACCGCCAGCATGCCGGTACTGAGCAAGAAGTGCCGGTACTCCATGGGTCAGAACCAGAAGTGCCGGTACTGCGTACCGGTGAGTACCGGCCCAATTCCAGCACTGTATTGTGGTAAATAAGAAGTTTCATGATTGAAATACAGTGTTACTAGCCAAGTTGTATGTGCTATTGAAAGGTGTTGCATTTGTTGACTCACTCCAGTAAAAGTACCAGAGAATGAAACCTAACTTTGACTCTTGTCAAAATTCTTCCCTTTTATCAGGGGCGTAACACTTACTGTATATATTGTGTGCCCTCCTTGCTTCTTGTCCTCTTGTCTTCCCGGGCTGCGACCCAACAACATGTCCTTTTCTGCTCCGAAGTAAAGTACCCTTTTGCACCTTCATTGCACCGCCTCCGACTCCCTTTTTCTCGACACTACAATAGTGTATTTAATTCAAATTACGCCATATCCACATTGATTTTAATTTCTAACACTATACAGATATTTGATTTGTGCACTGCGACCTGTTTAGCTTAATGATGTTTATTTATTTTCCCTTTTTCCTTTATGAGTATTTTCTGTTAGTTATAATAGTTTTGTTTTGAAAGAGTAGTTTTATTATTGATCCAGTAGTAGGTGTTAAGGCAACGTCCGGATGCCAATCGTTCTTAAAACCAAAAAGAAGAAATCCTTCCCGCTTTTATTTTGACGTCCTCAAACCGCACCGGAAGTGAAGTTCCCAGCTCTTTCTAACCTGGATCGAGGTGGCGTCTCGTCGCTACGGTTCTCTCTCTCTCTGTGTTCCTGAGAAAGTGTGTGTGAGCTGCAGCTCTACTGATCCATCATCTCTGTGTTTGGATAAACCTCTGAATGGACTCTGTGCTCTTTTTTCTGGAGTGTTTACCTCGTACTATAGGAGCTAGCTTAGCATGCTAGCTGGAAACACGTTAGCAACGCTAGTCAGATTGAGAGTTTGACGGAGAGAGAAACGGTGTGTTTAACGGAGTCTGCAGGGAAAGGTGTTCTAGGAAACATGAGTAAAGTCCAAATGCTGCTGTCGTTGAAGAAGCAGCGACTCACTGCTGAAGAGATATTTGCTCCGTTTGAAAAAACGATAGCAGAGCTCGAGGAGGAGCTGTTTCTTTCCAAGGAGGAGAACAAGAGACTCCAGAAGCTTCTGGACGATGTTTTACAGCCTCAGCTTCGGATACACAGAGCAGGTATGTTCCCTTTACCCTTAATTAACACTTTACACTCTTCAGTAGCACTTTATTATCACATTAATAACACTTTAGACCATTTATCAGCACTTGCTGCAGGTAAGTAAAAGTACAAACACCACACTGTGAAAATCGGATTAATCACAGTTTTAAAATGTATTAATCATGATTAATCACCATTCGAACTATGTCCAAAATATGCCATTTCTTTATGTATATTGTTGTGGGAATGGAAAGATAAATGAAAGAAGGCAGATATATCCATGTAACATACAGTAGGCTATGTATGTTTATTATAACATTGTTCTGTGTGTCAAAATGAAAGACAGCCCACACACCTATCAATCATCAAACCGTGGGGTCTTATTTCATTACATGTTGATTTCT